CCCCTGTCGGACCGCCACGCCCTCGCCCACGTCCCCAGGGAGCCGAGGACCTGCCTGGGCCTTGGGTCGCGAGCACTCCGGAGCACGGGAGCAGCGTGCGCACACAGGTAGACAGGTGCGCAGACGCACAGGTGCGCAGGAGTGCTCATAGGCAGAGGCACTCGGAGAGCCGCGGGGGGACCCCCAGGCGCCCACCGGCGGGTCTGGACGGCCACGCTGGCTGGAGCGCGCGCGCGGCTCCCCGTGAAGCCGCCAGGGGGCAAGAGCGGCGGCCCTGCGGATGGCAGGCAGCTGGGAGCTGTCCAAGGTGTTCTTGGTCCCCGGCGACAGCTTTAGCTCCCCGGGGCGCCACGAAAACGAGCGCCTACGATGCTCTCTGCACACCTCGCCTGCTGCCTCCCGAGGCCACGCTCACCCCATCCCGCGGAAACCTCCCTCCGGTCGTGTCGCCAAGAGAGCGAGCACGGCCCCTACCTGGCGCTTCCTCTGGGTCCTTCCGGTGTGGGCCGGGCTGCCGTCAGGTTTGTGAGATGGCTCGAGAAACGGCGGAAGGGTTGGGGCTGTGGAGCAGAGCAGGCGTCACTCCCAGAGCCCCCACCCCGCGCGCGACTCCGACCGACAGAACGGGCATCTGAGCTCACTTCCCAAGAGCGGGCGGCGCGCCGTGGCCAAGACCTCGCCTTCCCATCCTGGAGCAGCGCTGGGAAACGGGGCTGCGGGAGCCTCGTGATCCCGTGGGGGCTGGCGGGGGGCCTGCTGGATGCTGCGGTATCCAGGTGAGAGGGCTGGGAGTCCTAGGGCCGTTGCATGGCTTAGCTGCAGAGCCAGGCTCTTTGCGAGGTGTGTCCCTCCATGGCGTGGGCCCCTTGGGCCTCCTGGTCCTGAGCACCTTGGCTCCCTCCCTGCCCCCCGACGGAGACTTGCCCTCCCTCCAGTGTCGGCCAGCGCTGATTGTCCCCCAGCAGTCACCTTGCCCGCCATCTCTCCAGCCCCTACCCTCGACCCCCACAGCCTAGGCCTGCTCTAAGCCAGGGCTCAGCCTCCAGTCTGGCCTAGGTCACTGATGCAGGTTTGGGGTGGTGGTGTGTGAGGGCTCTGCCAGCCAGAGAAGACTCAGGGGTCCACGGACTAGCCCTGAGGCAGCTGTCCTGCAGCGACTCCAGGCCACCACAGCAGAGCAGAGGTGCCACCAGGTTCCCGGGTCTGGGCCCAGAGAGAGAGGAAGTGGGAAGGGCTGATGTCCACCCTCGGAACCAGAGGCTGGCCTGCCAGGAGGGCGAACGGGCAACAGTAAGGATGCCCACCCCACAGACACTCACTGCTCTAGCAAACACTGTTTATTACAAAATGTTTACAAGCAGGTGCTGGGCTGGCCCACAGCCTGTCCCCATTCAGACCCCGATTCCATGGCAGGGAAGTCCAAGGGCCCTAAGAATGAAGGCCCCGCCCCTGGAGGCCCAGCCCTGAGTCCCGGCGGAGGGGCCGCTCCCCCCGGGGAGAGAAAGGGCACCGGGCCTGAGGCGAGGCCCAGGCTGGAGGCGGCTGGAGTGGCCTCCTTTCACCCAGCCAGGCCCCCGGGGTGTGAGTGTGGGCACTAGTCTTGGTCCGGTTCTTCGGGCAGCCTTAGGGCAGAGACGCAGAGGGCAAGGTGGAGGGGAGGGTGAGCACAGGGCGGAAGGGTGGAGGGGTGGGGGGGACATAGAGAGGAGGGTGGAGGTGTAGCAAGAGACAGGAGAGTAGGGTGGAGAAGTGGGGCCATAAGAGTAGGGCGGAGGGTGGGGGGATGGGGAGAGCAGAGTGGGAGGAGGGAGGGGACACGGGAGGGCGGAGTGGGGGTGGGGGAGATACAGGAGGGTAGGGTGGAAGGGTGGAGGAACGTAGGACGGGAGGGTGGGGGTGG